CGAATATAATGAATTACATATTTGGGTAGTTACTAAATCAAAATATTAATTGAATTTTGGCTTGAAGATTAGCGGCTGAATGAATTGGATGATATTGGCTATAGTTTGAGGGTTATTGTTCAGTATTTCGGCTAGTGATTCGGTTAAGTTGTGACTTGTTCAGATAATGTGGTGTGTTTGGCATTCAGTGAGAATGTGGCTGATGGTAAGTTGGACACCAATAATTATTTTATATAATAATTAGTTAATATTATTCGTTAAGTATAAAAAAAAAAACAAAAAAAACTTAAGTATACTCACTTATCATTTAACATTGATTAAATTTAATATTTATATCAATTTAATTGGACGTACTATCATWTTGAATTTTATCATTTATAATAATTACTGGAGTCATATAACAATTTTATCATACTCGATAATATTATATTACGTGCAACGCACATATATCTTTTCAGATAATCTGTATAATATTATTATTATTTTAATTATTATTTAAGTGTAATTTAATATTAATATTAATACAACATGAAAATCGCGTTCCGGTAGTAGTCGTGGTAGATGCTCAAAACTCGGCGACCTTGACTTTGGTCTTATAATAATATTATAAATCCATATAAAATAATGCGATGATGATAAACTACAGTTTATTATTATTATTATTATTATTATTATTACATGAATCCTTACCTACCTAGTATAGACTGAATTATATTGGCGTTTACGGGAGAAAACAGACACCGCTTTCATCCATCTGTGTACGCGTCCGGGTAACCGCGGTATATACCACCGCCGCCGGACCAAGTGCCTCGCTATATAAAGCCGGCCGGTACGCCGTGGCCGTCAACACTTGTCCGCCACACTCTGTCGCGCGCACAACAACACACCATCATACTACGCTCCTCCACATCACCATTCGCGAAAACACCCGCAGCAACACCCGCGCCGCAATAACCATGAACTGCAAGATCTTGATCGCTCTGTGCTGCGTGGCGGTGTACGCCGCACAGGCCAATCCCGCCGGCGCGGCCACAGCCACCGCGGCCGCCGACGACGAGATCAAGGATTTCCCGGCATACATGAAGCGGTTCGACAAGCTCAACGTGGAACAGGTTTTGAACAACGACCGCGTCCTGGCCAGCCATCTCAAGTGTTTCCTCAACGAGGGTCCGTGCGTCCAGCAGTCCAGGGACCTGAAGAGTGAGTGACCAAAAAAATCATAATTATTAAACGATTTGTTTAATTAAGTTATTATTTGAATATTATTACGACGTAACTATATTTGAGCCGAGTTAATAGCTGCAGCTGCGTCGTCTGTCGTGTGCCTGTTGTATCGTATTATGAACGATGGTTGCGATCATGGTATCGTTTACTAAGTAATACTTACCACCTTCAGGCGTAGACTGATAAAAAAAGGGCACGGGACGCTATTTAAAGGGCAAATAACAAAAATGTTTTGGACAAATTTCAAATATATAGATTATTTATAAAATATAAAAATATTTTATTTCGTTTTAACAAAATATTCAAAAAATACACGACAGACGGCGTAACCGTGAATCGATGCTATAACCGTTTTTACATGCAAATTAAAAACTAAAAAATCGTGTATTTGCGTTGTAAAAGGTTTTTTTACGCAAAAAAAGGCATCATCAGCGAATTACTGCTTAACTACATTATATTATAATTAAATTAATAATATTATTGGTTATTGTGTAAGATAATATGATGGTTTTAGCCGACCTTCTCGTACAATTGCCTATCGCGAAAACAAGTTTTTTTTCGACGACCGTAACGACGATTTATATGTTCTAGACATCTAGACTTATGTCCATAATATTATTCCGATCGATATGTTATTCTCTGTTACTAGAAAGTTGGTAAAAACTAAAATAAAGTGTATCTTATAATACGCGTAGGTACCTATATCCGATTAGTAAGGGTGCCATTTTATTATAAAAGTAGGGACTTTAACGCGGCGGTTCCTTTTTTAGTAGCAGTATATCATCCCGCATGCCCCGGTAAGTTCGTTGCGCTTTTTCTCGATCCATTTGAAACGATCATTATTCTTATTCTTCACTAAAAAAACATTTACGACGAMAAGACGGACAAATAATTATTAATATTATCGTCGGTATGACATTCCTTATATTATTACAAACGCGCGTATGTAYGATTATCGTTTTCAACGCACATAGATAATTTTTCACACAAGTTATCGCTATTAATTATGTCCCGAAACAGACATCAGATATACGTATAATATTTATTAATAATAATAATATTATATCAACATGTGTGCCCAAGCGGTCGGTCGGAGTAGGTATAATAAA